TAGATTTATATCTGGGCTTTGTGGAGGTGTTTCCATTCCTTTGGGGCAGTTGTATAGTAGTTACTCTCGAGTTATAGGAGCTTTATGCTTGGGATCATTATCTTGGTAAAAAATAAAATCATTAGGAATTCCTAAACTATTGGCACTGACCTTTAAATTTCCTTTTAAAATATTTATACATTTATACTTATCCAGGATTCCATCAATAATGTGCAGATTTCCAACTCCGGCTACGGAAAAACACCCCCACACCATAATATGCCCACCCTCGTGTTTCACTGTAGGCTGGAGATTTGATTTTTCAAGGCTGGTATTTCGTTTACGCCATACAATTTGTCAATCATCAAATTGAAAAACATTAAATTTAGACTCATCGCGAAAAATTACATGTTTCCAAGTTTTATACGTCCATTTTATGTATTCATTTGCAAATTATAAACGATTTCGTTTATTTGATTCATTAATGTATGGCAATTCTTCCATTGTATCCATATTTTCTTATAACACGACGAATTTTTTCGTTACTAACTTTTTTCCCTATTTGATTTTCTAACTTTGATACAATTTTTAGGGCACTAATTTTAGGATTTACCTTTATTTCTTTTAAAATTCTTCGTTCGTCGCGATCTGTTAGTGACTTTCTATTAAGATTTTGAAATTTATTTTCTACTCTATTTTCAATTTTATACCTCTTTATAATATACTGAATAGTAGACCGGCTTCTTTTAACAATATCACTAATTTGTTGTAACCTTTTTCCATTTTCATGATAACTTACAATCAGTTTTCTTAACTCAATTGATGTTCCTTTACCTTTTCTACCCATTTTGCATGTTAATATACTGAATGCTATTGATTACTATTTTGTTTAAACAAAAGAATAACTGCCGATTGTCTTTTATTTCGTGCACAATCCACGAGAAATCCCCGATATAGTATTAGGTTGTAACATATATTCGTCCCGTTTTCTTTACTTGACAACGTAACATCACTTTTCTAACCTGTTTCCAACTTTACGCAGGCAAGTGTCATATGTCATTAGAGAGGTTAGATTGTACTGTTAATTTTAGCAAAAGATTTTTGTAATCGGTGAGCCCCCGTGCTTTTTGTGAAGCTTTAAATATGCTGAGAATAAAGAACATTTTCGGGACATAATGCTCTTTTACTTCCGAAGAGGCAAAAATGCGTCCGAAACGTGTAAAAAAATTTGTACAGTATATGGAGCCAATGCAGTGGATGACTCCACATGCCGGAAGAGATTTCGAAAATTTAAGGAAGGAAATTTTTATATTTATCGACATAAGTGGTGACAAACCGTCTGACACGAGGTGCATCATTAAGATAAGATAAAAATAAAATTACTTTGTAAATATATGTAAGATAATATAATAATGAATTCTGCTGAACATAAATAAAAAATATCCCTAAGAAAAGTGTTTTTTTTTTACTTATGCTAAATGTCCGTATGGTGTACGAATACGAGTGGGAGTAACTGTAGATGATTTTATCATTGCGTAGGTAGTTATCTGAAGCCGCGTCTATGAGTAAGTTCATACATACATTGTATATGTATATGGTCTAAGGTATAACTTTTATCTTCCGCTGTTTTCTCACACCGCGCCACTGCAGTTTTGACGTGAACCGTGAATCGTACTACGAACGAAATGTAGAGTAGTGAGTAGACACTCATCCAGTGTATTTTTTTTATCACATAACCCCGAGGTTCAGGAACCCTGGTATTATCACAGATGACGTACAAGATAGACATTGTACCACAGGCTACGTATAGAATAGACATTGCATTTTATGGGACTTTTTGTCTGGAGCTTTGGGACCGATAAGTCCTTACCATTTCCGTGTCGCTACCAACGTTATCGATTCAATACAGAATAAGATTACAACACTAGTAGTGGTTGAACTTGGAATTACAAATAAGAAAGTAACATAATTGTTTATTAGTAGATGATTCAACATATGCGCCTGTTCTACTGCTGTCAAAAGATCGTGAACAGTTCTACTCAAGTAATCCAATGTCTGTGTGTATCTTTATATGCAAATTTAATAAAAGAGGATATTTTACATCTGTTGACTTTACCATCTTTAATGGTTGGATTGCACGTAATTCTTAAACTCAGCGCTTTATATTGTAGAGGGCATAACAAAAACTCTGATTTTTTACACGGTCAGTATGTATTTCAGAACGTTGGACACAAAAATACATTAGGTGCAAGGTCTATCTTGTACCTCGTCTGTGCTAATATATTGAGTGCTACCTATCCAGATGTTACTAAACAACCGTTTTCTCTGTGTGGCCGTTGTCGTCAAGGGTTGAGAATGGGCTCGGTATATATAGAGTGACGATTTCATGCAAATAAGGCTCATTGGACGAAGCAGCCACTGAAAGTGTGGATTTTAATCTAACCTTACCTAATCAGGTAATTATTCACAATAGGGGAGGCAGCTTCGCTGACCTTGATGTTGACATATGTTGTTAAGGGCATTCTCCTGTGTAACCTCCAAAAAGTTTTAGCCGTCGTTTGTTATTTGTTAAAAAGTTATTAACGAATAACTCGTTACTACACAGCGAATTCTGTCTATGATGTGCGTTCGCGGCAGCTTATACGTCGCGTACGTGTGTGCAGATGAGTGAAAGAACAAAAGAAAGGCGGTGAAGATTAGTTTCGATGAGAGTTGGTTAGAAAAAAGCTACGGAGAGTAATAAAATAGTTAAAACTTATGTATAATCATGAACATTCTATCATGTTTTTTCATGAATTTATTCATTTAACCCACAATTATGATAATTTAATAAGTTACTTAAGTGCAAAAAAAGTGCTTCGGACCCACATTACATATAGTATTAAAAGTTTTTTATTAATATCTCGAAAATTAATGATTGGCTGAAGCTAATATTTTATATTTGAAGTCCAACCACCCTCCTCCCCCTTCCCACCAAATTTCGTTGATTTTTAAAAGAGAAATTCTTTGAATTTTTCGCTTTTGATAATAGTTAGTGTAAACTATTAGTGTAAACACAATTGCATGTAATAAGCTGTGTAAAAATGATACTTATAATAAATTTGTATATGGATAGTAAAATAAAGTTTCTAATTTATTTTCAATTACTTTAATTATAGAATAATTAGTGTTTCTTGTTAAATAACAATTTAGATGGTAGTTCATAATTATTGGAAGTATTAAGTAAATTTGTTGCATGATTTAACTTAATAAAACAGTTTAATTTATTAATTTCGCTTTGAATTATTAATTGCATGCAGTAGATTAGTTACAAATTGTTTATAATTTTTATTGAAAATTGAAAAATTAATATTCTTTTTGTGCGAATGACAAATGGAACTTTCGAGCTAACACAGGAATCGAGGAAAGGACTTGAACATCAGGAAAAATGAGGAAATGCAATTAATTATCAAAAATCAATTATTTATTGTAAGCTAACTGTACAAAATGTATTTTGCAAAAGGTTATAATACACTAGTATTGTTTTACAGCATTTTACAGTCTATTCATTTCTCCCTTCCACATCACACCTATTTACTTTTACAAAACACTCATTCTTTAAATAATATTGCATTACAAAATTAAATAAACTAAGGCCCGGTGCAGACGAACGGTTTGCGGCAGCGTCAAGCTACGTTTTAAAATAAGGATTGATTTATGTGAAGTAGTTCACACGGAACGCAAAGAAGCAAAACAAAACAATTCGAAAACGAATACATAATTAACAAAAGAATATTCTTTTGAGATTTCTCGGCGCACCGAGGGAGTTACGCGCGAGACAACGTGCGCATACAGTATATTGATTACTTCATATACAAACTACAATTAAAATCACGCGGAGCTCCTTATTCTATCTTTTTATAAGATAAAATTATGATTATAAGATACATTTAGTTTATTATAAATATGTGTATGTGTAAGAACGCTCAAGGATGAGAAGGAAGATTCGCACCAGAATCGCGGAATGTGAACCTCATGGCTGGTTCGCATGAATCGTAGAGCGTGGACGTCATACTATATTATATCTGTTGAAAATTGCTACCTGTGATATTTCCATCGCGCACACACACATACACGAGCGCCAACACATGATCTCAAATCGTACACACGTACTAATTTGCTACGAATGCAACAATCATACACGCGTAAATGACCAGCTAATGTAGACAACCAATGGGAGTGTACGAACAGATAAGAATAGCTCTTTAAACTGTTATGTTTTACGTTGTTTTTCCGCGTTTTCATGTAACCATTCATCAGAAGAATTATCATAATAGAATAATTCATTAATTATTAAAAATACATTTTAGTAATTGTCCAAATGATTCTAAAATATTTTTAATACAATTTCTCACGTTGTCTTTTAACCTAACCTTGAATTAAAAGTGAAGATTTAATTTTCAGAAGAGCACATATATGTAACAGAAGCGAAAGATTTTTAAAACTGCTTTTCAAGTGAAAAAATAAAGTGTTTTTCCAGTTGAAATTTTTAAAGATAATTATGACGATATTTGATTATGTGATCAGTCAAATGATTTACAAAAGTGTCTTCTGCTTTTCACTGGGAGATACAAGTATCAAGGCCTAATAATCGATAACATAATACGTGCAAAATAATAATATTATATGTTTAAAACTTCCTAGTTTGATACAAATCATCAAACAGTTTTAAAATCATTTTTTTAAACACTGCAAATGTCAATAATTTCTATATTATAACTATATGAACATGACGACAGCATGTAATATAAATTTTTCGGAAAATTCACAAGTTATGTTTAAATGAAACAAAATAAAATAGTGTGAAACTATTGCTAAGAACTTTAAATGAACAATTTTCTTATGTAATCGTAATTGTCCCGACATACGCATGTATTACAAGACGTTACCTGATGTGAATAATTTTTTCGAAGTAGTTACCACTATCAATACAAGAGAGCGTTCTGTCGTATGTTAGTTGCTCAGCTGTTTTGAAGAATCGACGCAGCTTGGCAGTGATTATCCGTAACGCGGCGTGGAATTGCTGCTTTCACGTCCAAACGCAAACAGATGTGGAGTGACTGTCCAAATTTTTGACATATCTCGTCGAGTATTCTCCGAACAGCGAAGACACTTGTTCTACCGATTTTTATAACACGGGCGAACGTGGAGTCACAGGTGATCGTGTCAGAGGTTAGAGGGATCAAAAGAAAAAATAAAGAAATCGCCATGAGCGAGTTAAGCCAAGAGGAAGTGAGTACCGATGCACCGTTTCCAATCGTTATTCAATAGCGACTCAGTTTTGTTGTTACTGTTGGTTTCCTTAACACTCGCATATTTTCTTTGCAATTTCATCATATGAGAGAAAAAATGACAGGAACATTTACTAAAACACGACGAAGTATAACAGGAGAAAAAAAGTCTAATTAACGAGACAATAATTACTGTAAAATAGTCGTTGTTCCACTAGTCGTATTGTGTCAAGATAATTATGTAACGATAACGAATTAAAACTGATTTTCCATTGTAATAATGTAATTTCTTAGAACAGTTCTCTTTGTTATTGGTTGCCCTAGTTATTTACTCTTTTTACAATGTAAACAAAAATTTTGTATCTCATAATTTCAAGGTATATGAAAAGATCTTGCTTTTGCCATGAAATAGAATTATTTGGAAATAAAATATTGTTCACATTTATGACAGTCTACATTTATTTTCATTGTTACTCTTTGTGTTCTTTGTCTTTCATATAAATATAGTAAGCCTTTGTTCTGATCTTATGCAGTTTTAATTATTATATCACCTTTCCTTATGTTATTTCATACAGTACTTGAAATATGCAAAATTATAGTATGTTCTTCACAGATTTTTAAAGGACTTTTGTAAAAAAAATAAGAAAAACTAAAAATTGATGTCACATGTTCAAATTATAGGTGAGAAGGAGACGTATGGCTCGTTTGGCAGGCTTAG